CCAATTCTTTCAATTCTGTTTACCTTGGCTGTTTCCATCACTGAGTGTGTTGGGCAATTTGATCAAGCCCTAGACCATCTTCTAGGTCTCATACAACATATTTAACGAACTCACTGACCTTGGAGTACAACAGTTCAAAAAATGAAGTGACATCCCAAAGAGGTCAAGTCAAAATGGACAGAACCAAAAGTAACGCTCCACCACTTCTCTTAGTGAGCGATGAAGGCTAATGCTTTATTTCGATGGTTGGCACATTGCTCATGACTAAAAGATGCAAACTACTGCAAAGAAACTCAAAATCAAACAGTAAAGTGCTGCAAATTCTTACAGCTGCACATATTAAGATAGTCTATTTTTTAGCTCTGACATTTTAAACCACCCACTTCTCTCTTAGGGTTTATATTATCACCAAAAGCCTTTAATAAAGTAAAACTTTGTAGCAAACTATGATTTAATAGCCTAAGCATGGAAGAGAATCATGAGTATAAGGTCCTTTTATTTACCTTAATTTCCCTGTTTTTAACATCACAGACTCCTTGGTTCTTCCTTATAAAGCTGATCTCTCTGGCTTACCACACAGAAAGACAGTTAACAATTTTGCAGGAGCGTCTTCCCAAGAGGAAAGGGAGAAGATCAAATTAATAACCTAAGTACCTTTCAAATCAACCAGAACCTTTTGAGAAAGGAGCAGTTCTAGGAATCCAGGGTTCCGGTACTGCGTCAATTCAGTATTCACAATGTAGCTTGATGCTTCCCCCAGAATTCAGACCTGCAAACAGGTAATGGCCAGTCAGGAATAAAGTGAGAGTAAAAAAGGTTACTGCTGCAGATTAAGTTTTCACAGATGTTCTGATTTTGCTCCACTATGATCTAAAAATATTCCTGCATGCCCTTGTATACAGTCTTATGAAAAGAATGAATGTCAGGTTTGATTAGAAATAGAAATTCATCCGAGTTCTACATTTACTCAAAGGAATGCTTCATTTTTATCACTTAGAGCTTGGCTAGGAAAACGCAACACCAGGAATGATTCAGAAGAAAAGGATTTGCTATGCAGCACTGTCTTTTCACAGTGCTGGGAGCTGCTTAGAGCGCCTGTTAAGTTGGAAGTGTCTGTACAGGAAGATTGGGTCAGCAGGGCAGCCACTCCAGAAGGAGGAAAAGGGATGAGCTGGACCCCACAGGGTGAGTAGGGAACACACACCGGTTTCTAGCAGCTGCTGAAGCTCAACCAAATGATGAGAATGGCCTGCAAAATCTCTGGTTCTCTTCTCCCGCAGAGCCTGACACACCTGTACCAGCTGTGCAGGCAGTCCTGGAGAAAGAGGAAGGGCCTGGCTCAGCTGCTGCTCTCCACCTGCAAGGCAGCCAGGACTCTGCAACCACCTGTGCGGTCTGAGTGTGACCACAGCTACTCTGCTTCCACCTTCCAAATCCCGCGGAAAATGCCTCTGAGGCCAGCCCAAAGGTGGCAGGGTAATCCTGGGAAGGGAGTTTCTAGGGAAGTTAATTCTAACTTTACACTGAAGGAGCATAAAGTCACCATATTCTGGTAAGCTATCTTCCTCTTTCACTAACCGGTACCCCCAAAACTGGTAAAAAGCAGATGCTCCGATTACCTATTTCCTCTTTCCAACTTCAGCTCATTCCCTATGTGAGAAGCATGATTAGCACCTCAACACATGAGCAAGCACTTTGACTGTTCATTAATACACATGCAAAGCACCTCTACTGCAAAAGCCTTATCCTATCAATTATGTTTACTCCTAAGGGAGATTTCAGCTCTCAGCACTTGTGACATACGTCCGATGAATCAAAGATGACAAACTCATTTTTAATGAAGTTTGAGTTTTACACTGGGAAAGACCATGGGAGAACAAAATTATAAGCTATGGAATGGAAAAAAGTAATTTGTCAACCACATACTTGAAAAGGGACATGTACTTAAGCAAAAGATCATCAAAATTTTTAAAAATCAACATTTTTAAAAATCTACTTTGAAAATAGACAAATGACAGAAAGTCATATTTTACAAAGAGACTATACAGAGCACAAATCAACATGTTTAAAGACATTCAATATTGGGGCTGGGGATTTAGCTCAGCGGCATAAGCGCCTGCCTTGCCAGCAGGCAGTACTGAGTTCGATCCCTGGTACCGATAAAAACGAAAAAGACCAAAAAAAAAAAAAAGACATTCAATATTGTTAGCCACTAGAGAAACAAAACTAAATGAAGTGTCTTACCACCACACAATTGTCAGAATGGCTATAACAAAAAACCACAATAGCTGGGTGCAGTAGTATATGCATATAATCCCAGTACTCAAACAGGAGGATCACAAGCCCAAGGCCAACATGGGCAACTCTAAGAACCCGAATCAAAAACAAAGAAAATTAAAAGGAGTGTGGCATTTTTAGGCATTTTCCTTGAAAAAAAAAAAGTACAAGCAATTGAATGTTTACATTAGCTTTATTTAATAGCCATAAAATGGAAGCAACCCAGATTCCTTAATACAGTGATTGGTCAAGCACACTGTGGTATACCCCGACAATGGGATACTACTCACCAATAAAAAGGAACAAGCTCTTCATACTTGCAACAACTTAATGAAACTCCAGAACAGTGCCCAAGACAAAAAAAAAGTCTCAATGAACTGCACACTACATGATTCCACTCACATAGCACTGAAATGACAGAGTTACAGAGACCGAGAATTCATACTTGTTATGGATTAGCGTGGGGCTTTATAGATAGTGTGATAAAAAAAAATGGAGGTATCCTTGAAAGGGAGCTGTTTCATCTCTTGACTATGTGGTAGCCACAGAAATCTACATGGGATAACTAAATATGTACTTACAAAGGATCTAAATATATACTTATGAGAGATACTAAATGTATACTTACTAAGAACTAAAGACCATAAAAAGTGTATGTGGAAAGCCAGTGAAATCTGAGTTAAAGCACTAGTAATCTGTATCATTATCAGCTTCATGGTTGTAATATTATAGTTATGCAAAATGTTACCTTGGTAGAAAATGAAAAAAGGACTAACAGGGTTTCTATGCCATCACTCACAACTGCACAGGAATGTACAATTTTTTTCAAAATTTGCAGTAAGTCTGAAGTTTGAAAATATTTTGTTCAAACAAGCATAATTTAAGACATAGTTCAACTCAACTGCATAAGTTTAAAAGGCCACTTGAACTGTTGTCAAATACTTCAAATAAAAACTGTAAAGATATATCTACATGAAGTGTCTAGCCAAATGTGTAGTGCATACTGGACATATAAAAGATGAGATTTCGTCCTTCCTTGCACATTTTTGAGGTCAGGTGGGTCTAAACCCACACCACTGTAACGCTTTCTCTTAGATGAGGGAGCATGCTGAGACACTGTCTGTTCCTACTAAACACTGGTGAACACTGAAGCTTCCTTACCTTCTCATTTCTAAAGAGGCACCACCTTTCCAAGCAGTGTTGCATTGCTTTCTAGATTAGCAACTCAACTGTCTAAAACACACACACACACACACACACACACGCACACGCACACGCACACGCACACGCACAAGCACACGCGCACACACACAGAAAGCAAGCCAGCAAGCTGATCTTTCCCAGCAAGTCCTATCAAAAGAGCAGTGCCTTTCAGAAGCTAAGGTGCCTTATACCAGCATCCATTACCAGTGTGAACAGCTTGCTGTCCCCTGCTCTGTTCCTTCTCCACCAACACCCCTGCTAACTTTCCACTTCACCACTGACCTTCCCTCCTCCCTCCACAGCCCTGCACCCCAGCCTTCTCTGTCCCTGCCATCTGTGACAAACTTTAAAATTCTCAAGCATCAACCTCATGCTGAAAACATTATTCCTATCCCTCCAGCAATAGCCCTGACCCTTTAAAAGGGAAAATGCTCAGACCAAGGACCAGGATGGTTCCTGTGGCCCGTAAATCCAGCACACTTCACCTTGGGTACCTCCATGACTTCAACCCTCATGGATTACGTGAAAATTCAGGTCCATTTAGACGTGAAACGTTTATATTTATGCTGTCTATAGCCACTTTAAGAAACGTCTGGAAAACTGAAAATTAGAGATCAGTAGAATTCTTCGAGAGGAAAATTATATTCAGAGTCGAATGCATAATTTTCTCACCCTCTTTCAACCATTGAACGTTAAGGGTAGGAATCAAGTGGAAGTCCCACCGAGTGTTGCCAAATGCCACTGCTTCCTTCTCGAAGTCAGGAGCCACCTGTCATCGCATCATCCCAGTCCACAGCTTCCTCAAATACTCATAACCTTAACTCCGGGCTCCTCCTACACCCAGCCCGGAACAATCAGGACAAGGGTTAACGCGAGCCCCGCGAGCCCGTCTCTCCGCCAGATCTATCGGCGGAGGCGCAGGCGGCGGTTCAAAAGCGGCGCGGAGCCAGCCCGTAGCGAGTCCGCACCTCCAGCGCCCGCTCCCGCCACAGAGGCAGCCAGCTCTGGGAATCCTGCAGAACACCCACCCGCGGAAGCCTGGCGTGCTCTGGGCTTCCCTTACTCCTCTCGCACAGAAATGCTGAATCATGACTCCGGGGTGTAAAAGAAAAACTCTCTCTGCCGGACCCGGGGCTGCATTCGCTCGCCTGCATCCCTGAGTGGAGGCGCGGAGCCGCGGTGTGGCGAGGCCGGGAGGTCGCGCAGCCCGAGCCGGGGCCGTCCGCCCCCTCTAGGCTCCTGGGACGCGTCCCCCACCCTCGCTGCCCTCCCTGCGGAGTCGCCCCCGCCGCCGCGCCCCGGAACCGCCGGGTCCCTCGGCATGGGGCGGGGCGCGGGGACCCATCGCAGCCCGGAGCTCCGGGGAGCCGAGCGCACCCTGGGCAGCCCGCTCCCACGCCGGCGCGCACCCGGGCAGGCGCTGCGGTCCGCCGGGAAGGGGGCGTGGGACGCGGGGCGACGGGCAGCACAGCAGGCGCCCGAACTTCGCCGCAGCCGCCGCCGGGCCGCGAGGCACTCACTTGAAGGTGAGGACGCACAGCGGCCGGTAGGACTTGTGGCTGGTGTTCTCGGCCATGCCCTTGCCCCAGAAGTCGTTGGCGAAGACGCCCCAGCGCAGGGGGGCGCCGGGCCGCACGTCGGGGTTGTGCACGATCGCCCACACGTCGTCGTGCACGAACTCGCCGCGCAGTGAGCGGCCGAAGCACAGGCAGCTCGCCCCGGCCAACAGCGCCGCGGCCCCGGCCGACGCCAGCCCGCAGCCCGGCCGCCTGCGGCGCGCGCGGCCCCCGCCGGCCCCCATCGCGTCCCCGCCGCCGCCGCCCCGGCCGCGCCCGCACGTCTGGCATCCTCCCCCGCCGGGGCCGGGCGGCGCGGGGCAGCGGGAGGCGGGCTCGGCTCGGAGCGGCGGCAGCCGGCCCCGCGCTCGCGGCGCCGCGGACTTGGCCCGGCTGCGGGTAAACAGCGCCCCGCCCGCGGCGGCCGCCGCCCCACTGCGCATGCCCGCCCCGCCCCCGTCCCGCCCCCTGCCCTCCCCGCGCCCCCGGCTCCCGCACCTGCGGCTGGGGCGGGCATGTGGACCCCGGCCGGCGCGCTGCAAGACGGCGCCCCCCGCCGGGCCGCCACGTCCGTCGGAGCCGGACTCTGAGCCAGGGAGGCGGGAGGCGCTGCCCGCGGGTGCGGCCATCTACACGACAGGTGTCCCCGGGGGACCGAGGTTCCGCTGGGGTTTGGATGCGGATCAGGCTTCCAAGCATTTCTCCTTTTTCACGGAAACTCCTAAATGGCTTTGGGAGACGCTAAACGCATTACTTTTCCCTCCTGTCTAACTGGAGCTTTTGGGTCCCATTGTGGGTGTTTGAACTGCTTCTGTTCAATCAGTCTGATTTTAAGAAAATACCAAAGACCCCAAATACCACTAAATAAAAATAAAAACACACAAAAACCTATGCCAAAGCCTTAGGTATAGGCTCCGTAACTTTCTTATACTATGTAAGTAAATTAGACAATCCCAGACTGTTCATAACTAGCATTTCTCCAGAATTGAAAAATCATTATGATTTTTCAACCCTCATTCGGCTTACAAATTCCTTACTGAAGTTACCGGGAATTTGATACATCCATGTAGAAGAACATAAACGCAAAGTCTTTTATTCCTATCCTATCAAAGTTCTTTAAAAGTGCATTGGTCTCAAAATAAAATATAAAGCAGAACTTGTTCTTGTCTGAACCTTTGTGTAAAGAGGGCGGCAAGGTTTTGGGGGGCTTTTTGGGTGTTGTTTTACTTTAAGACAAAACCAAACAAATTAAGCATTTTCCAAAGCAGCGTGTATTTTACCCTTTTCACTTTTTTTGTTTTTGTTTTGTTTTTGATAAAAATAAAGTTAGTAAATGAGAACTGAAACTGGAAATCCTGAACACCTAATGTTTTTATCTTTGTTTCAAACCTTTTGACACTTGTTAAATTTGAATACCCATACCTCGCACATACCAAAACCTCTCATTTTTGTACACAACACACTACACATTTCCTCTTCACTTAATAAAGATATATAATAAGCATATACTCTGTACCGCAATGTGCAGAGCTGAGTTGGATGGATGACCAAAGCTTCTGGAATATGCACATGTGTGTGTGTGTGTGTGTGTGTGTGTGTGTGTGTGTGCACGCACCCCCCCATGCCATGTTACCACCATAAAAGTTAAGCTTTCTAATTTAATAACCAACCAGTGAAACTGTCCTACAAAAATAGTGAGAGGTGTAACATACTATCATTGAGAGGCTAACATTTCAGTCTTACCTATAATTAATGGATTTGTAAGAAAGTATCTTAACCCAACAGAGAGACTCCGGTAATAGATTTTTTCAAGTTCTAGATTTGAACCCAGGCCTGTCCTGAAGCATATAGGCAAGCCCTAGTATGAACTAGACCTCTGGCCCTTTGTTTATTTTGAGACAGGATCTAGATAATTGCCCAGGCTTGTCCTGAACTTGCAGTCCTCTGCCTCAGCCTCCCCAATAGCTGGAATTACAGGCCTATGTCACCTTGCCCCGCTAATAATAGATTTTCATAGAAAGCCAAGTGCCCCACCCCAGTCACTTTGCTAAAAAGCACAGTCCCTCCCACCCCTTCTCTTCTGAGCTGTTTTTCTGTAGTTGAAAGCAGGCTCAGCACTGTCCAGGACAACAGAGAGACATGAAGCACTAAGAGCTGAGACCCCAAAGTGATAAAGGGAAGAAGTGACAGGGACCCTTCAGTAGGGGGTCCAGGTTTCGCAGCTTAGTGCTGCAATGCACACCCCTGCAGATCCAGTGGCATCTCCATCCTGTTTACTTCTGGTGATGAATTTGGCATTAACTCAACATGAGGAGGATCCTAGATTTATGATGGTTCCACTTGTGGTTCTTCAGCTTTTCCATGGTGAAAAAGCAATGCACATTCAACAGAAATAAGACATAATTTTCTTGAAACTAGTAGGTAGCCACCCGAATGGCAAGAGCAGACACCCCTGTGTGGTGCTAGGTTACCATGTTAGATGTGTTTCAACTTACGTATCCACAGTTTTTTGTTTTTTGTTTTTTGTTTTTTTTTTTTTGATACCTGCAGTGTACAATGCCCTGATTAGATGCAATTCCTCAGTCTTTTGGTGCTACAATTATAGACGTGTGCCACAACACCTGGCTTTTGATTTTAATTGGGTGCACGATGAGAGATAAGAGTCTTAGTTTAGTCTTTGGCATGAGGAAAGCCAGTTTTTTCCAGCACCATTTACTAAAAAGGCTATCTTTCTTCCAGTGAAGGTGTTTAGTTCCTTTGTTAAAGACAAGATAACTAAGTACATTTGGAGTTGTTTCTGGATCTTCCATTTTCCCCCATTGACCATTGGATCTGGGTTTTTTGTTTTGCCAGTACCATGGTTTTGTTTTATTTTTTTTTGTTTTTATCATAGTTGCTTTATAATATGACTTCAGATTGGGGATTGAGGTGCTCCCTGCCTTGACTGTGTTGCCCAATATTGCTTTTGTTATTCTAGGTCTCTTCTGGTTACAAATGGATTTTTAGGATTGTTTTCTCTAGTTCTGTGAGATATCCCAGTGGCATTTTGATTGGGATTACATTAAATCTGTGTAACTCTTTTGGAAGTATAGCCATTTTCACTACTGTGCCTGCCTATTCAAGAACAAAGGCTATCATTCCATTCTGTTATATCCTCTTTGAGCTCCTTTTTCAGAGTACTGTGGTTTTCAGTGTATAGCTATTTTACTTCCTTTGTTAGATTGATGCTTAAGTATTTCATTTTTATTGGTTCCATAAAAAAACCATTTTTCTAAGGGGAGATTTTTGAAAGAAATCTTGGGACTTTTCTTTTTCCTTTAAATGTAGCGATCTGGAGCTTAGTCACCACTGCCTCATCTCTAGCAACTGAAAGATAGTGAACTGATTTCCTTGTAGAGCTCCCTGGAGAAGATATGAATGTTGTGGGCATAAGCAGTGAAGGAGACTTTCTCTTTTTCTTGTGGGAGTAATAGGTTAGTCTAGTCAAGTTGTCCTCCAAAAATACGTAGGAAACCACATTAAGAGCAAAAACAATATGATATGGGCCTATACCACTTGATTATTACAATAGAGCAAATCAGGCCAAGAGAAGACAGAGCTCAAGCCCCATATTTGGGCTCCTTGTTGTCCTGGAGACCAGTGAGAGGCTGAGCAGAGTACCAATGATCTCAAGGGTCAGGAGGGACAAAAGAGCATCGGTCCACTAAGGAAGGGTACCCTGTTAATTCAGCTCTGTCCATGGCCAGTATTCACTTTATCTATGCATATAAAATTCCTGAGGTAAGTAGCTACAAAGAGAGAACATGTATTTTGTCTCACGGTTTTATAGGCTTCCATCCATGAGTGAAGGTCCCATTCCTCTGTGCCCTGACAGCACTTTCTGGTGGGAGTGCAAGGCAAACAAAATTAATTACTACATAGCCTGGAGGCAAAGGAAAAGAGAAAAAACTCCTTAGGAGGGTCAGCTCCAGTGCTATAGGGGATGCCTACCAGCCCCTGCCTCCTAATGCTTCCACCAGCTCCACATACCCCCTGCAAGAGGGCCCTGTGGGGCACATTCCAGATCCAAAGCCTTGCAGGGTAGACCTTGAACAGTGAGCTTCCAGCAGTGAAGAAGAATTGGAAGTGTCTGCCCACTGGCTTCCATGGATCTACTTTGCGGGTCTCAAATGTGTTTAGCACCAGAGATGGCTTCTTGGAAGAGTTTTCCCACAGATAGGAGTGGGGGTGGCTCCAGGGTGAGTAAAGCACATTGCATTCATGCGCTTTATTTCTACTGTATTACATTGTAGTCGTTATTTGCATTATGACATGAGATTCTCATGGGTATGGGTAACCTAGACCTTTCACTCATGGTGTTGACAATAGGGTTTGCACTCCTATGAGAACTTAATGCCCTTGCTGACCTGACAGAAGGTGGAGCTCCAGGAGTGAGTATGTGATGTGGAGGAAGCAGCTGTAAATACAGAGGAAGCCTTGCACGTTTGCCCACAGCTCACTCTCTGGTGATGGAACTGTTCTAACATTAAACAATAGTGGTGGCTGTAATCCTAAAAGTATACAAAGATCCATTGACTTGTATGATTTAAAAAGATGAATTTCATGCAGGGTAAATTAGCTCTTGATGAAGATTTATTTAGAAAAAGAGAATCAATTATGGCCACAGTAGTAGATAAATTGAGACAGGACACATGGACTTGCAACTGTTAATTAAAAATTATAGGAGACTCCTAATGTAAGGTCCAGCGGACCAAAAAAGAAAAAAAAAAAAATCAAAATGGAGTCACTCATGCCAAAACTCCAGCCACCAGACCCACACTACTATTTGATCTTCCAAGAAATCATAAGAGAAATAACAACCACATTTCCAAACTAGGGCAGTTTCAATTGGTTTGACAACAATGCTCCTTCCAGTTCACCCCTTATAAAATAGGTACCTTGAAGTAAGCAGATTTCATTTTCTGTTGTTCTGGCTTGTGTTCCAATCTTACAAGCAAAGTTACTTTTAAATGGCCAGCCCACTTTTAGTTCTTCCGTTTGTGTTATCAGCAGCTTTCTCTGTCTATAAAGCTAAATTCCTGCTCAAGCACATCAGAAATGTATTTTATTTAACAGGATGAAGTATTGCCTCATTCTAGGAAATGGTCAATAAAGATCTTTCAATTAAATTTATTACTTTTTTGATAAATTGTTCTGAGATCATTAAATTATCTGGCAAGAGGACAAATTAGGAGCTAGTTGCTAGGCCATGCAATTGTTTTACGCACTGAATGGCATATCTATGTCACACACATTTTTAAAAAAGAATGAGAGACCACTAAGCCAAGAAGGCTGAAACCACAGACATCCATTTCCCCAGCCAGTTCCTATTTGAAGAACGCTAACAAAACAAAGACACAGTTTTCTAGTAGGCAGAAAGTAGAAAGAAAAACTGAATGTCTTTTTCTTTTAAACATAATAGTGAAATAAATATGAGTAAATTCAGTGAAGACAATAAATAAAAATCACCTTAACGAGAATATAGTTTTAAGTAATACAACTGAGTTATGCCAGCAACACTTGCTTTACCAACATTTTTCTGCTTTATAGGAGCTAATTATTATAAACATTCTTTTTAAACTTTCAGTGCTATTCCACGCACCAGGAGGCAGGAGTGATGAGTCCAACACAAACAAAGAATGAAATATGAGAGATAAATA